AAAAAAAAAGGGGGGGTCTTCCTGAGCCCTCCACACCATAACGCTGCACCTGAACACATACATGCCCCCATGCCCAGCTTGGGGGGTCCCCGGGAGGAGCAGCACCTTCAGGGCCTCATATAAGTCGTAGATCATCCGGAGCCCCATCATCTCCTTCTGCACTTGGATGAGCTCGGGGTACATGGTGATGGGGAGGTCGAAGAGCTTCTCGGCGTTGGCCAGTTCCTGCCGGTTCTTATCGTGCTTGGCCAGCTCCTTTTCAAAACTGCCTAAGAGCTCCACGCCTGGCAAAAACGTGCGGAGATAAAGCAGGACGGACAGTGTGACCGTAAGACAGATGCCTCTAGTTCCAGCGCTTGGGACCCCCGGGGTGGGATGGGGGTGGGGTGGGGGTCGCTGCAAGTTCAAGGTCAGCCGATCTAGATAGCTAGTTCCCGGCTGATCAGGGCTACTAACTGAGCAATGTGTCTAAAAATGTGTGTGTGTGTGTGTGTGTGTGTGTGTGTAAATAAGATTGAGGGCCAACGAGATGGCTCAGTGGGTAAAGAGGCTTGCTGCTAAGACTGATGACCTGAGTTCAATCCCCAGGAAGCACAGGATGGGAGGGAAGAACTGACTCTCATGGGTTTGTTCTCTGACCTCCACACATGCATGCATGCATGAGCTCCCCGCCCCTGCCACACACACATAGTAAATAAATAAATAAATATAATTTAAAATGCTAAGTAAGAATAAAATTAGCCGGGCGCCGGTAGCATGTCTTTATCCCAGCACTCGGGAGGCAGAGGCAGGCGGATCTCTGTGAGTTCGAGGACAGCCTGGTCTACAGAGTGAGATCCAGGACAGGCACCAAAACTACACAGGGAAACCCTGTCTCAAAACCAGCCTTCCCCGCCAAAAAAAAGAATAAAATTAATTTGATGAAGAAATCAGCTATTAATTATAATTTTGTGCACATAAGTTATGGCGGAGATCAATGTCAAATCAGCAGGCGTTATCTTGCCCCAGAAACCAAAAGGCCACTTGCCCTGCAAGCCCTTCTAATTAGAATGTTAACCCCTTGCAGGCAGACCATGCTGGAAGTGAGGCTATTGAAGGGACGGCCACTTTGTCCCCCATCCCGGTCAATGTCACCTGCCCTCTGCGGCCCTTGAGATCTCCTCATCAGCTTGACAGTGGCCTTCACACTCCAACTTCCAAGTCCACACTTGGCCCCCAGTGCCCCGTGGCTGTTACATTCTACACCACGGTGTGTCCACCCGCCTCCCCACCCCAGCATTGCCTTCTCCCACTGCCCACGTTATTCCCAAGATCCGACTGCTCACCCGGAAGCCCTAGCCAACCCTACATAAGCAATCTCCCCAAACTCTCTTTAGAACAGTGGTTCTCCTTGGGAAAAAAGGGGGGGCAGGTGGTGGTGGTGGCGGCGGCGGCGGCGGCGGCGGCGGCGGCGGCGCACGCCTTTAATTCCAGCACTCGGGAGGCAGAGGCAGGCGGATCTTTGAGTTCGAGGCCAGCCTGGTCTACAGAGTGAGTTCCAGGACAACCAGAGCTACACAGAGAAGCCCTGACTCAG